AGGTCGCCTGTGAGAGAGATCACGGACGTGTCGTGGACGCGCCCTCGGCGGGGGGCGCGCTGCCGCAGCGCCGCCGAGCAGCAGCACAAACTCGTCGAACATCTCCGTCACGCCGACGAGGTCGAAGAGGCGCCACATCCCCTCCGCCCCTGCGCAATACAGCAAGAACAGTGATCCAAACACGAACAGGAGCTCCTGTTGGTAAAACCCTCCGCGCCTGCGGCGTGCTCCTCGGAGAGGGGCGGCACGCGCGGTGCGTCGTGGCAGGTGAGGCCTGTCGACGGCGGGAGGGCGTGTGGAGACGCACTTCCCCGCTGGAGGCCGGCGCGCCCTGGCCGGGGTCGGAGCCGAGGGCCATGCGGGTGCCGCAGTCCGGTGCGGGCGGCCACACGCAGAGCGGCGACTTGGTGGTGACAAAGTGCGAGTGCCTATGCTCACAGGCGGGGCGGAGGTGGAGAGAGGCTGCAAACAGAGGCGGCGGCGTTGCGGTGACGGAGCGAGGATGCCACGAGAGCGACTGCAGCAGCGGCATCCGCAGCAGCGAGACGAGGTTGCAGCGGCAGCCGGCGGCGCGGAGCTGTAGCGGAGGCGGGAGGTGAGTAACGCTCCGATCGTCGGGCTCCTCATCGCCGGAATCACTAGGATGTATCTCGCTGTCCGCACTAGGGTGTCTCTCGCCTGCTCCCGGATGAGCACGAGGTCGGGCATGGTGTAATAGAGCGTGTATGGAAAGGTGAGGTCGCCAGCCACGTGCAGCTCCACCGCCAGCCTCAGGCCTTGCAGCGTGCCGGATCGAAGCAGCGAGTGCAGCCGCTGGAGCACGAGCTGGAGCTGCAGCCGATTCTGCCGGCCGACAAAGCTGATGAGGTCGAAGAGACCAAGCTGCGCGTGCCGCTGGAAGAGGGCACGCAGCGTCGTGCCTGCAGTCTTTTCGACGTGGTGGAAGAAGACGACCGAGCAATTCGGCAGCGGCGCGCCGAGCATACTACACGTAGTACAAGTCCGCCGACTAAATGATTTTCGACAACCGCAGGGAAACGCAGGACGCCCCCCCCCCGACCGAGCTGCGAAACAACGGCGTCCACACCGGCCGCCGCTCGACAACCAAAAATTTCTTCGGCGCTGCGCGCCGTTGCAGTCGAGTGTATGTCTGTGTATGTTGCAGCCCAGGTGCCCAGCTATCGTGCCGCAAAATAGGTCCATGTCCATGTCCATGTGGTTAGAAAAAATGCCCTCGAAAGCGCCCGCCGGTGTGTGTCCAAAGATGTAGCGCTACAAGTTGGGGACGCATCCGACACACGGGCAGGTTTTCGCGCTTAGCAGCTGGCCAACGGTGATGACGCCGTCGCGTCACCGACGGCTCGTGCTTTTGCGTATGATAGCAACCCCTTGTCCGACGGCAGCGTCCTCGCGTCCGCCTCCGCCCGCGCGGCATCATCATTGTCCGCCTACACCACTGCGGCCGCGGCCGCACCCGCGGTGGCAGGGTTTCACACACGCCCAGGCGCAGGTGCAGCAGCAGCCAGTGCAGCAGCAGCAGCTAGTGCAGCAGCGCGTGATCACGCTTGCACACGCGATGGGCGGTCGTCATGTGCTGCAGGATGGGTCACTTTGGACGCGTCCCATCGGAAGGCCGCCGCTTCCACCCGGCTCCGAGAAGGCACAGCGAGGCGCGGTGCAATCAGTGGAAGCACCATCGGATCAAAAAGAACGCCGATGCTGCCCTACAGGCTGCGCAGACAGTGCTAGCTCTTTATAGCGAGGCGACCAGGCGCGAGATGTTCACTCTCGCGCCACATCCCTACAACGGGGTGCATTGTACCCACTTGCACGCCGGCACGAGCGCGGCGCCGCAGTGGGGCAAACGGGGCATCTGGGGCTAGCTCAGCTATGAGCATCACCTCTGCCGCTTCTCGCCATCCCCGAGGAGCAGCGCGCCCGAAGCAGGTGAGTCACGGCCGCTAGGTACAGCGAGCGCGGCGAGCCAGAAGCGAGAAGGGAACGTCAAGGAGAAAATCAGCAGATTCCAAGATTCAATCTCGTTTGACAAAACCCACACGGAGATCGGGTAACTGGGAGTCGGGAGCTCGGGAGTATAAGAAAATCTCCCAAAATTTTCGTCGGCGCTGACGCGCCGACAAAGCTGGTGTCCGACCCCGACCGCCGGCCGAAACAGCCGCGTCCAGCCCGACCTGCGGCCGGCCGAAAATCATTTAGTCGGCGGACTTGTATGTCCGGGGCTGACTTTCTTTTCCCATACGTGTCTCCAAAAAGATGACTTTCTTTACCTTTCATGACACCGGGGCCATTCTTTCCTTTGGCGTGCCGGTGTGTTTGTCAGGGTTCCGGCTCCTAGCCGGATAGGGGGTCTGCTCACTGGCTGGCCCCTCCCAGATAGCACTCCCTTTGTTCTCTTCTCATAAAATCGGAGGGTCGGCCCACGGGGGGACTTCGTGAACTGAAGCGACCCAACGAACGATTTTATTTAGAGAGAGAGAGTTGTTGTTGTTGTTGTTGTTGTCGATTTTATGAGTGGCAACAAAGGGAGTGCCCAGATAGGTAGGTTGGTCTTGTTTCGCCCAAAAGGGCCCTGCAATAGGTAGCTAGAGGCCGGCGCCTTGCACCCGGCCCGCGGCCGGCACCGCCTCGCCCCACAACTGACCGCCCTGCGGCCCCTGCGCAGGCGTACCACAGGCGTCGCTCAAAAAGCGACGCCGGGTGTGGGCTGCTCCCTTGACCCGTCACCCGCCGCGCCCTCGCCCGGCCGCCTCACCGCTCACGGAGCGTGCTCGCCGCCGCCGCCGCGCGTCCCGCGCCGCCACGCATGCCCCTTGCCCTGACGCGCGCGCTCTGCAGCGGCGCAGAGCGCGCGTCTCTGGCACAGACGGAGCAGCGGCCGCGCCAGCGGTCGCTGCTCCGCCCCGCTTCAGACGCGCTCTGCGCGCAGTAGCATAGCGCGCGCCGCCGCGTAAGGTGCATTCGCTGCCGGTCCCGGACGCGCCGGCGGTGGCGGTGAACCCCTCTCGTGTGTCGCTCAGTGGCCTGGGCCAGGGTGCTTTGGGTGCCGGGTTCACGGAGCTGCCCCCCCCCC